AACAGATACATTATGAGTTAGGTAGATAGGTAAATACACTTTCTTTCTGTAGTGAAAAAAATTGTTGGTAAGCTTTTATTCTATATAAAATTCTGAATTGTAGTACGAAGAGTCAACAGTTGGGGTTTCCCTCTTCAAAATGGTAACAAGAAACAACTGTCAGTTTTGGAAGCCATATTAGTACCAGAAGCTTCCATGCTGCCAATTCCTTGCACTTGGGAAAGTAGGAGGGGGGATTTAGGAGAGTGATTTGTAGTTAGACACAATAGCATTCTTCCCTTCGGTCAAGGCCATGGTGCATCTAGAGGAGGAGTGGTTGCAGGAATGGTTCAAGTTGAGACGGATGATGATTGGGCCATGTGACAGATTGATGGGTGCAGGGGCTGGATTTGGGTTTTTGATTTACTGAGGGAAAATCTGGAACTCTCAGATTCGGGTTTTCCCAGATGTGCCAGTATACCTACTCAAATAAAGGGAACTTTGAGAAATGCTTGCCTTGGAGTTTTTAATTGGAATGGGGCTTTCTGGAATGCTGACAGCAACATTGATGTCTGATAACTTTAATTGCAGTCTTGAAGGTTTGGTGATGACATTAAAGTAAGATAACTAAGATCTTGCCACTAATAATTGATGCCAAAATACTAAAAATCACAGCCCTTGATAAGTTTTCTTTGCATAGATAATATGCTAAATGTATATTTTTCAGCCCCTGATAATTATTTCTTAAAATCCTCTTTGCCAGCCTTTCTCTAATGTTGACCTATTCCCTGTCAGTATCTACCTGAAGCTGTTTTGCATTTTAAATGTTTCAACCATGTCACAGGTTTTACATCTTTAATGGAATTTAAGATGTCTTTAGCAGACTTGTCAGGTTTTGTTGTAATATTCAGAGGGATTAGGGACAAAATATCTGATATATTTTTTTAATAAATATGCTCTTTTTCCCAAGAGCTCTAACTCCAATGGTCTGTTCCATTTCCATAATGTCCCTTTTGTTCCTCAGATTCACAGTGATTGTCAAATATAAGTTGTGCTGCAGGTACCACAAAAATGCAAGTAATATTTGACATATTATTACATTGCAATTTGCAGGGTAATTTCAGACAGAATTTTGTTTTTCACAAAAGTACTATGCAGGTCTGCTTGATACAAATTATAGCCAGTATATCAGAAAGCATATCACAGGCTCAGTACTGGGGTTCTAGCCAAGACAGTGAAACAAACTGAATATTAACTGAGAAGTTAGTCTTCAGATGATACATAGATATAATAACTATGGATAATGTGGATAAGTGGAACCTGGAAGTGTGACATGTGTGTGCACACACACACACTCATGCGTACACACACATGCGCACACATCAGATGTGTCTTCTGCAATCCAGTGATATTTCTGAGAATTCCTTGATTATAAACTTGAAATATGCCTTGTTCCATCTTCTTCACAAAGAAAAGAGTCTTTTCAGATAAATTTCAGAATATCCTGTAATATTTATTTTTTAAAGTTGGGATAGCAATTTTAAAAACTACAGTAGTTTTAGCCTACAATTCTAAATATCAATGGCCATTGACCATGTTGTCTGGGACTAATGAGAAATGTACTCCAGAACATCTGGAAAGACAAGTCTGCTGAATTGGTAGTAATAGGCATGCTATTATCCCAAAGATATCAAGACCAGTTTATACAATTTACTTAGTGTTACAATAGTTTACTATCCTCTTAATGGTGAATAGAGTCCTCTCTTCATGGAACCAGTTAGATATAATGTACACTATCATTACAAATAAAACTTCAGTTTTATGCTAAAGTCACAAAATATATCACCTAAATAAACAGCAAAACAAATATTAATAATCTTCAAATGATCTATTTTCTAATCAATCAATAAAAGCAGATATAATAATCTAGGTCCAATTTAAAACAAAAACAAAAAGAAGTGGGACTGACGAAAAAGACAGAAATTTTCAATGGCAATTGCATGGTACAGTTACTGTAAATCCTACACATTGTTATTGCCATCATTTAATCATCATTACATTCTTCAATTTATATTCCACTCTTCTGCTCAGAAGAGTATTCAAAGCAGCTACTATAAATTGTGGTAATTTAAAACAAATTAATGTTAAAATTAATTAACAATTATACATTTGTTGAAAGAGTTGTATCTTTTTCACTGTGTAATTCATAAAGAAATGTGTGCCATACCCTGGGAGCAATCCAGGAGAAATCTATTTTATGTGTTCCAGACAGAGAGAGACCTCTGACAGCAGGAATATCTTCAGATGGGCCTCTTCTCTAGATCTGAAATACTGAGACGTTTCTTAGTGAAAGAGGCATTTTTCCTTAGAAAGTCAGGCCTAAAGTGATGGAGCCATTTAAAGATCAACACTTTAAATTGTTCCACTTTAAACTAGTATCAAGTGCAAAGCCTTCAGAACAAACTTCATAAAATCACTGTACCTTGTACTAATTACTAAAGTAACTTCCACATTTTACATCAATTGCAGCTTCTAGGTATTTTCTTAGGGTAGTTTCATACAGAGCATACAGCAGCAGTCAAGACAAGACATAATGAAGTTGGTGATCATAGAAATCCAGCCAATTCAGAAAGGGCAGCAGCTGATGATCTAGGTGTAATTAAGAAAAAAAAATCCTTGCTGTATTGCCTAGGTATGAAACCAGTAACAGTGGAGAATCAAAGAACCTTCCCAGACTATGGACATACTTTTTCAGGGGCAGAGCAGCCCTGTCTAATCCAGAAAGAAGCCCGGAATCTAATTTCCTATACTAATACTGTCTGAATACTGTCCATATTGTCTGAAATTAATTTCAGCTTGTTTTCTTTCATCCAGTCCATTAAGCTTGGCAACATGCAGCCCTGATAAGACCTTTTAGCCCTGATAAGATCATACTTGGAATATTGTATCCAATTTTGGACACCCTGATACAAAAAAGATGTTGAGACACTAAAAAGAGTGCAGAGAAGAGCAACAAAGATGAGTAGGAACTGAAGGATAAAACAAATGAAAGATGGTTGCAGGAATTGGGTATGTCTAGTTTAATGAAAAGAATGACTAGGGGTGACATGATAGCAGTGTTCCAATATCTAAGGGGCTGCCACAAAGAAGAGGGGGTCAACCTCCAAAGCACCTGAAGACAGGACAATGAATGGAAACTAATCAAGAGAGATCCAATCTAGAACTAAGGAGAAATTTCCTGACAGTTAGAACAATTAATCAGCGAAATGACTTACCTCCAGAAGTTGTAGGTGCTCCAACACTAGAGGGTTTTAAGAAGAGATTGGACAACCATTTGTTTCCTGCTTGAGCAGTGGGTTGGACTAAAAGACTTCCTTCCACCTCTCTTATTCTGTTAAGGGTATGAGTTTCTTCCCTGAAATCAGTTGGTAAGGAATTAGTAAAGGTAGATATAATTAGGATCATCCTATTCCAAAACTCATGTTGACTTCCAAAGTTATCCATTAGTTTCTTGTAGATATTGAATAATATAAGAGGTAAGATGGATCCTTTGAGAACAAATGAAGTTCAGACTCAAAAAACAATCCCATTCATCTTTCACTATATTTGATCGAAAGGGAGGCCAATCCATGTTCTTTATCTTTTGGTTGTTTCTACGGTAATTCATTAGATTTCCATTATTATAAAATATATTTGGTTTATATTTATGCTGATACAATGGTACAGTGGTACAAATTTTAATATTTGCTCAGCTTTTGAAAAGAAAAATTCCAACTGGTAGAAGAATAGCTCCAGAGGGGGGAAAAAGGTATGTTTCTAATTTGACAATTGATATTTTTTTTTATTGCCACAAATAGATAGCTTGCAAGAAAAGCAAACAAAAATAAGAGCATGGAATAAAGATAATATAAAGATGGAGGAACAACATCAATTAACGATTCCATTTTATTAAGAGAAAGAGTTTTATATGTTAATTCAAATAGTTGTATATAGACATAACTGAATGATGTTATCCATTCAGTTGTGTCTGGCTCTTGGTGATTCTATGGGCCAGGTTTCTTAGATCTTCTGATCTTGCACTACTTCTTTGAGTTCTTCCATGCACAGGCAGGTATCAGCTTTGATGATGTGCAGCCACCATGTTCTTTGGTGGCCTGGTTTCCTTTTACTGCTAATTCTTCCAAACATAATTGCTTTCTCCAGTGAATTCCTCCACACAATAAGGCCAAAGTAAGTGAGACACAGTTTTGTAATTTTGCCATGTCTGGTGTTATGCCTTCCACTACTTGTTGTTAATGACTTTTGCTGTCCAAAGAATACACAGGAACCTTTTCCAGCAACAGAGCTCAAATGCGTTGATTTTCTGTCTTGCATTTTTAAGGTCCAATTTTGTATTCTTGTATTTAAGAACATTCAACATTTTGAAATGGCAGGATTCTTTATTAGATTGGTTATTAGAATTTTCCCCTCAGTTATTGTGTTTGAAAGTATTTTCAAAGCTGCAGCCAGTGCTTGAACTCAAGAGCTGCTTGTTACAGCAAAACAAATTCGCTTGAAGGCAGTGTTTGTAAAACATTCCACCTCCAGAGTAGCTGTTCTACTGATTTCTCTGTCAAGGAATGAATACATGTTTGTCACAGTGCCCCTGATGTTGAAATGGAAAATTAGGGAGTGTAGGGATGAAGAGTTTTGTTTATTAGATCTTTGGGCAATTTGAAGTAGATTAGCAATAACAAAGGACCAGAAATTGATTTTTTTTAATGTGAAAGGACCAATTGAGTTTTGGCATACATCAGAAATTCCCAGGCTCTGGATTCTTTAATTCATTGCCTATCTCCAGGCATTAAAAAGGCATTCCTCTGCACTTCCCTATTATTTCCACATATAGAAGGGAGTCTATATAGTGATGAATCTCATCAGCCCATAGAGACTCTACATGTAATTTGGAACATTTTTATCCAAGATAAAAATGTATATATAAACTGGATCATCATGTTTTTTCAGATTGTCCAGACAGAGATGAGATATGCTTTTTGGAGTTGAGCAGAACTAAAAACCATGGATGAGAAGACCAGAAAAAATAATGACAATGAATCATGTCCTCCATCTATGCAGCAATATTGACAAATTCTACTTACCAAGGAAAATATATGGGTGTAGAATGTTGCAACTTCATCAAACGGTTGAAGAAGAAAAGGCAATGGAAGAATATCGGAAGGACAGTAAAGAAAATGTATTGAAGCTAGTATGTTGTGAAGACTTATTGGAAAGACCAAATTGGCCTTTAAAAAAGGCCAAATGAAGAATAGAAAGGCGACATGACAAGGCAAAATATTACATGTTCAGTATACAACAAACATAGCAGGCAAAACAGATAACAAGATCTGGCAATAGCTAAGAACAAGAAAATTGAAGAAAGAGACCAAGAATTGAGCCAGAATTGAGATTACAGCAACAGAAAACAAATGCTGCCTCTGCAAAGAAGCTGAAAAACAGTGGACCATCTAGATAGCTTTTGCAAGACAATCGCACAGACTGACTATAAGCAACAGCATGACAAAATAGCAACAAAGATCTGTTGGAAGATCTGCAAGAAAGACCATTTGTCTGCAAGTAAGATCTAATGGGACCACAAAATGTACCAAGTAGTACAAAATGAAGAAACTAAACTGCTGTAGGACTTCAGTATTCAAAAACACAAGAGCTGCCACATAACACTCTAAACTTAACAATTGTCAATGAGAAACACAAAAAAGTTTGGAGAGTGGAATCAGCAGTACCTGGAATCAGCAAAATTGAAGAGAATGGAGAAAATCACAACATGCAAAAACCTACAAATAGAAAGGCTATGGGAAAAGAAAGCAAAGATAGTGCTAATAGTAATAGTTGCCTTGGGTGCAATAGTAAAGCATTTGAACACTATCAGCATTGACAAAATCACTATCACTCAATTGAAAACAATAGAACAGCTTACATAATGTGACAATACATTTAACATCACGAAGCAACATTTCCCTATCCCAGGTCTTTGGGAAAGACTTAATAGGTGGATGGGGATGGTAGAGGACAGGAAGGCCTGGAGGAAAGTTGTCCATGGGGTCGCAATGGGTCGGACACCACTTCGCAACTAACAACAATAACAATAGGTGAATAAAAATGCCAAATTCACTCTAAGCATCTGGCTGACTATGCAACTAACCATAATAATAATAATAATAATAATAATAATAATAATAATAATAATAATAATACCTAATTAAATCTGGCAGCTTTTGAGTGCATTGAGGAGGTTATTTTATTTCTAGCCAAGTGAAATGCAGGAGCTGGCTTAGAAGAAAATTAAGCACAGCAGGCAAATCGGCAGTGTTTCAACAGACAGAAATAAAAGTCTGCTTTGAATGTGGAGCAGGAAAAGTATCCAGAGAATGAGTTCACAATGGGTGAGTGGAGAGTGGTATTGTCTGTTCCTGCCCTTCCAAAATGGTTGCTGGCAATCTGATAATGGGACAGTCTGGCAGAAGATAAGCTCTGAACTCCATGGTAATTGATCTTATACATATCCCATTTAGAAAGATCAATATATTACTTCAGCTGCAAAGCACTCCAGTAATTTGGGACTAATCCCCATTTTATTGTAGAAAAATCTCATTTGTCTCATTCTAAAAAAGGGAAAAAATGATAAATATTGTAACCATGTAATATATCAGTAGGCCAAGTCCTGACCTATAAAATATTTTTAAATATATATAAAAAAATGAAGCTACAGAGTTCAGTCCGAGCTGCACTACTGAATACAAAAATAACCTGCAGTTAGGTCATCAGAGTTACTGAAATGGAGAGATGAACTAAAAGAAGAAATGATGTGTGCTGTCTCGACTGCATATAAGCCCATTTCTCTGGGACTGGGGAATAAGTTTGTTTTGACTCAAGACCATGTGACATGTCAAAAACCACACTCCCAAAGGAGATGGGGAAAGGAGCTATTTTGGGAGGAAGGCAACATGGTGCCTCAAATAACTGCACCACTAAAACAACTATTTGCTCCTTAAAATCTTGCCTAGCCACCATAAATGCATAAGTGGATTTCAATTTTGTTCCTCACCAATGTAACTCTGGCCCATGAGCCATATTCTGTATGCAGTCCATGAGCCAAACCTTTTGCACCATTGTTCCACAGGTTTTCTTTTACATTCTGATTCTAAAAACCAATGTTTTCAAACCTGACAATTTAAGATGTGTAGACTTCAACTCCCAGAATTCCCCAACCAGCATGTTTTAAACTAACTCATCATCTGAATCACTAGCATAGTGTGCCATCTATCAGGAGATTTGTTTTACTTGCCCATCTCTTACTATCCACCTTACAAAAGAACAAACTACTTGAACACACCTATTGCTACTTTATGAATATCTAAGGTGAAATTGAAATCATCAATAATTTCATCATGTAATTTTATCAGAAATAGTACAAGAATAATTGATGCCAAAGAGGAATTCTTAACAACTTTCTGTTACTTTGGTTATTTTAAAAATATTTTAAGCACAGTGATAAAGCTTTTATATTAAACTATTAAAACATGTTTTGTGAACTACAAGCAGAATAGCACATTTCAACTTAACAGGTTTTTCAGTGAAATTTGGCTCTTAAAATTTGCACTTAATCTTACTAGCTACATATTCATTTGTATATTATCAAAGCTGCATTGGGAAGAAGACTAGTATATGAATATGAAATCATCATCCTCATCCATCCTCATCATCAGTTGTGGGTGGTCAAAGACTGGAAGTTTTTAAGAAGAGAGTGGACAAGTAATTGTCCAAAATGGTATAGGGTCTCTTGCTTGAGCAGAGTCTCCAAAATCTCTTCCAACTCTGTTATTCTGTCATCATCATCACTATCACCATCATCTCAACAACAACATCTGAAGGAAAATCAAAAAGATATATATATATATATATGTGTGTGTGTGTGTGTGTGTGTGTGTGTGTGTGTGTGTGTGTACACACACACACACAGAGTTTGTTTTTCCCATTAATTCTTTTTCTATACGGAGAACTGTACCCAGCATCTTCTGCAAATGTTATACTACTGAATTAGACTTTGTTGGAGAATGTATGATTTGATCCCTTCTAGATCTTAATGAAGTATTTTACCATTTGAACTAATTCCCTTCCAAAAATGATCTGGCTTGGGTAGGGTAAGTTTATGCTTCATTTGCTAATGGATATATTAAAATGCATATATATGCCCAGCTAGCTCTGATGTTTCTGGAACCTTGTTGGTTATCAAATGACTTGAGAAGTAAAATTCTCTTTCTTCTTATCTCTGTGCAGCTAGAAGATTCAGTAAACTGTGGTTGCCATAGAGACATTGCATCATCATCAAGAATACGGTCAAGTGCCCAGGAAATGGCCTTTTGGGTAATGGCCTTCACTACAGGAAACATTCAAATCTCAGAGCAAATATGTTCTTAAATACAGAGTGTGGAGTGCCGTCCTTGTGACCTCTTCCAGCCTTTTCTGATGCAGATGATCAGGGGAACATAGTGAGGAGTTTGTTACTTAAATTATTAATGTATATTGATACAGCATATTAAGTAATTAGAAAATAAAAGCTTTGCTTATTTTCAAGGTTATTGTCAGAAGATGTTATTACTGAGTTTTCAGTGAATAGTCTAAGCAAGACTTCTATGTCATCTCAGCAAGCCCAGTACAGTATAGCTTTCAGTCAGAGTTGAATGGGAAGTTTAGAACTTAGACTTTGCAGAAACACTGCTAGTCAGATTTGGCAAACAATCTGGCAACTATATTTTTGTCAAGCATTCCTTGTATCCGAGACATTTTGAAGATTTGGACAGGCAACAGTGAAAAATATTCATTTCAGGTCTTCCGTCTCTCATTTCCCTCTCAGTGTTTCTTAAGTCAATGTAATTCTTCTCCCCATTATTTTTATCCACTGAAGCCATAGACATATCTAGCTTCATCTCTCTTTACTGTACTCTGCCACGTGTTTTATCTGTATATTTATATCAGTTAGCTTTGTAAAGGTTCAATTTGGATATACAATTGAACTGATTTTTAGTCAAATTCAGAGCAAGCCCAATGAATTGAGTTGGAGCTAAATGAGTAATTGCTAACTTAAATCCCACTGATAACAATAGTCTGCTCTGGGCTCCTACATAATGCAGCAAGTAGTAATGTTGAGTTATTTGCTTTTAGTCTTAGTGTTGATTTATGAAAACTAGCTACTATTTTTGTAAACCATGTATGGTTTAACATATTGTGCAAACTAAGCTTATTAAAAGAAAACATGGCTCAATTTAATTTATGAACCTAAAGCAACTCAATCTGAATCCAATCCAGATAGTATGAATGCTATTTTATCATTGCTATGTTCCTCAGTTCTTTTTTTTGTATACTGTTGGCTATATCCATACGAACCATTCAGTGACCATTCTGGTCTCATATGCTATGCCTAGTTCCTACAATCGTCAGTAAGGATTTTTATCCATAAATCTCACACCAAAATGATGGTGATTGACACTTAAGAGTCACAACTTCAGAAAAGTTATGATGTGAATCATTAGGACATATAGCCTTTCTGAGATGCTGACCCTTTTCAGTCAGTTGAAAAGCAGCACTGTAGTGATAGTTGATTCCTTAATTTGAACTTCAAAAATATAATATATGTACCAAGTGATTTTAAAATACCCAATCCTTTGACAGGTGCATTCTAAATAACTGCTGCAACTGAAATTTATTCCATACCTATAAGTAATATCCCATAAAACAATAGAGTTGTTTTGTTATTTATTATTGGTTTTAAAGCAGAAAGACTCGCTTGAAATTGCTGAAATGCAATATATATTTACATATAGGTAATTACTATTATTATCATTGTAAATTATCATTTTCATTTGAAGTCACTTGCAGTAATTATCAAATAAGAAAATGACTAATTTCAGTGCTCAGGAATCCAGCCCAACCTTTTTGCTGAGTTTATAATTAATATGTCAGAATCAATTTGTCTTGGTAACTGAGGTATTAGAAAGCAGGGAGAGCAGGATCAAGACTGATTTCTACTTTTTTTTACAGCTATCAGTCTGCCTCTACTATATTCCCCAAGTTTTTTTTTTCTTTGTGAAGAACAGACCACTATAGAAAATATGAAACTCTTTTGATAGGTGTATATGTTGCCCTTTGTAAGTGTAGCCTTGTTAACTTAAACAGAAAACAAAACACATTTTTACAAATTGTTAGTAGAGGATACCAAGGAGTGCCTGCTTTAGAAACTGATCTGTATATTTGTGTGCAGAAAGATGGTTTTGTTTATGACCCATATGGGTAGAAACTACATCTAACTGTACCTAAAGAAGTATACCTGGCAGGATTCAGAAGAAGGGTCTTCTCTGTGGTGGCTCCCTCCCTTTCATCACCACGGAGATTAGACTGCCCCCCACTTTGACACTTTTTTGCAAGGCCCTGAAGACCTGGTTTTGCCAATGAGCGTGGGAAACGCAGAATGGGATGGAGCCCATCAAGTGGCTTGTTGTCACCAACAACAAGGGAGCTGGGGGATTATTTTTTTTATTCTTTTTATGTTGGTTTTTTTCAAATAAGCCACCTAGAGTCACTGAAAGTAAGTGGGTTGCCATGTAAGTTCTTTAAACAAAGACACTTGAGTGATTATGGATGAGTCATTCTCTCTCAGCCATAGACAAGAGGCAATGGCAAACCACTATTGAAAAATTTTGCCAAGAAAACTGCAGGAACTGCTCCAGGTAATTGTTAGGAGTCAAAAACTGACTTGAAAGTGCTTCTCTAAAAATATTGTGTGTGGGATATTACTGTATTGTCTTTGATCTTTGGTGATCAATTTCATGTTCACTGTCAAGTGCCTAGTACCATATATAATATGAAAGAAAAAGAGTACAGTATTTAAGTTTTGAATATGTGCAATAAAACATACAGAGAAATAGGAAACGGCTAAACTGAACTGATTTTTTTCTAATTACTTATATCTGGCTTCTTAGGCGATTAGTTTCATTATTGTTCACTTTATTAAGGATGATTTTCAAATATTGTAAATTACTATAATCCTCATATCATTTCCTTGAATGAATGAAGACTTTTGAGTGCTTCTCAATAATTTATAAAATAATTTGGCATGTGACAGGAGACTAGTACACTTCATTTATCTTGTAAATCCACTTTTTCCTTACTTTTTCTCTATCACTTACTTATCCATATTATATTTAAAATTGGTTGTGAAAAGACCAAATTACATAATTATATGATGGCTATTTTAGTAACTCATAGCCCATTTGCAGACCAACTTTTAAAGCTCTTCACAGTTAAGAGGTAAGGGAACCCAAAGGATTCTATCCTATAAACTTCTGTCCAAGCTGTCAGATCTTTTGATTCCCATTCCCATGTACAGTTTATGGCTGAAAAGAAGAGAGGCTTTTCAGTGAAGAATTCATTACAGGAATATTCAGTCCAATTACTGTTCGTATTATCTTTGCTTTCTTTTGCCACAGTGGTTCTACTTCTACCTGCAGGTCTTTATATTCTATTATTTTCCCCAGTTCTTTCTCTCCTGTTCTGCTGTCTCCAGGTATTGCAATGTTTACTTATCAATATTCAACCTCTGCTTTGAAAACTGAGCTCAGAATATTTCTCAATTCAGTACTGCTGTAAAGAAAAACAACCTTCTCTCTTAATTGCTTTAGTTCTAAAAAAAAATAAGGTTTAAAAATAATTTTTGATGTCTTTTTAATACCTAACTTTGGTGAGTTATAGAAAAAGCCAAGTGATTTGATTAATCACAAATGCAAGTAATATTTTCTTTCTGAGTTCATAAAGTGTTCATACAAAAATGGTTAACAACTCTTCCTATTGTGTTGGGGATTGTTCATAGAACTATATGTATTAGAAGAATAACAGAATAGAATAATAGAGTTGGAAGGGATCTTGGAAGTCTTCTAGTTACGACTAAAATGGGGCTGTTTGAACTTTGCATGAGCTTTTTTTATAAATCTCAGTGTTGTTTGTGTATCATGTGAACATGGGCAGAGAGTCCAGAAGCCAGGCTGGGTTTGGATATTTTATTTCAGGAAATTTAAGGTCTGTAATGTGAACCAGTCATAGTCTTTATTCCCAATGAAGATTACTTTTGTATGATAAACAACTATACATCATTTGGAAAATTCAAGAAGGTTTGAATGGTGGTGTTTTCTGATGTATGACACTTGACAACATTAGCTTGTTGATTGTAACTATAATTTTTGCCTCATAATTTTTGTGTCAGGGCTATTTTTAATTATTCATGTGTTTCAGTGGGACATAAGAAAACACAAAGCTTATAGAATAGGATGAATTTGAGTATAATATAATATCTTAAAGTAAAGTCTTAATAGTCATCATTTGAAAATTTCCCACTTCATAAAAAAGATGTTAGATGTGTCTTCCAACAAAAAGTGTCTTGTGGGTTAAATGCATAACTAGGTACTTCTTCTGTAGGCTTGATGGCTGCTCCATGCTTTGTTAGCATGTCAAAGTTTCCACTCCAAAAATGGGTAGGGACAAAGCTCTTTCAGCACTTATAACAGGTAAAATGGAATTCATAAAACAACCATTTACTTTATGATTCATTCATATTTTCATTCATTCATAAACTTCCTCAATACTAGATCAATACTAGACGGTATACAAAGTACAATGCAATAATATTCCTTTTTAAAAAAAAAATTAGAATAAATGGCACAGATCCTCTTCTGGCTGCTTAATCATCAAAAGCTTTATGGAAAAACAAGGTTTTAATTATTCTCTGGAAGGCCACAATAAAGGGGACCTTCTTGCACAAAAGAGGAAAGCAAGAAAGTTCACCTTGGTGTCTCCTCCAGTGCCTCCTGATAGGTAACATTAGTAGGCATCCCTATTTTTCCAGGTTGGATGGATAAAATGTAGGGATACAGATTGGGATAGATTGTATCTAATATACTCATCTCCTACATCACATAAGATTTTAGAATTAACAACCTTGAATTGCACTTGCATACTGACTAGTAATTAAAGCAGCTCCCATAGCAACAGTGTTATATGAGAATATCACAATTCTCTAAAAAGAACATGGGAATCTGCAGTGTATGCCAGTTCATGTTTCTGTGTGATCTTCAAGGACATCCTGATGTAGAATGAATTGCAGTAATCTGGGAACAAGGCAAACAAGAATACGAGGCTTCAGCTGATTTTCTTAACTGAAGAAAATTAGCCCAAACTACAAAAAAAGGATGTAGTTCATACTTGTTTGAGAGGGGTCTGTGAGAAGAAAAGAAATGTCAGAACCCACATATTATATATCTCTCCTTTAATGATAAAAGGCAGAAAAAGATTTAACCTGAGTTTCTTCCAGCACTTCATTTCTCTATATGAAAAGACAACTATTTAACTGGAATGACTTGCCTCTAGACTAGAAGTTGTGGGTGCTTCAAAACTGGAGGTTTTTAAGAAGAAATTGGACAACTATTTGTCTGAAATGTTATAGGCTTTCCTGCTTGAGCAGGGGGTTGGACTAGAAAACCACCAAGGGCCCTTTCAACTCTTATTCTGTTATCATGCGAAAATTGAAA